CTTCAGCCTTTTCTGCATCCTCTGTCACAAGCTTGCCTCCCCATTCAGTAATGGACCCACAGTTTCCCTAATCTTCCTCTTGCTTCTGATGGTCTTGTAGAAACCCTTCCTGTTCCACTTCACATCTCTTGCTAGCTGCAACTCCAATTGCACTTTGGCCTTCCTGACTTCATCCCTGCATGACCAAGCAATAATTTGGCCAGGGCATGTACCTACAATTGAAGGTGGGGAGAGGTGGGGAATGAAGGGAAAGTTACTATTTTCCTATTGTATGTGGGATAAAGTATATTTCTTTATTAGTACATTTATATAATATGCAGAGTAATCTGCTTAGAGTTGAAATATAAGGTCTTACCTAGTATCATGTTTTAAAAGAGTATCTACACGTCATATATTTTCCTATGTTCTTTTTTGTACATAAAGGTGTGTCTGTGTGAGGGAGGATACTCCTCTTGTCTTGGTGCATGCGTAACCAGTTTTCAACACAGCATGTGTCTAGGTGAGAGAGAATTTCATATCCTTAGGCCACATTTAACATTACGGTGATGTAACTGAGACTAGGATATGGAGAAATTTCATGTTTGGGCATTTAAGAGCATTCCTCTCTGAGCCTTGGGTTTCAGTGTTTCTTTTAATTGTGTCTCGGGGGTATGAATGGTTAGTCTCCTCCTATCTCAAATTTAATGTATAGGATTGCTAGATTTCTCCGTTCATTTTATACTATGGTTTTCTACATTTGAATAAAGTTTACTTTTTCTTTTTTTAGTAGTGCCTACTAGCATTTCTCACTTTACCTCAGACTTTGTTTTTTCAGATTTATGTAGGGTGTTTCATCCTGTCACTAAGTTGTATGCATACTGTATGCACTGTATTATTTAGTGTTGCACCTGAATCTTTCATGTGTTTATACATCTTAAAGTAGATGTGTGACTATGACCTTAAAGCAGATGTAGACTGTGACCTAAGGAAGTTGAATAACTATGTTTTGAATTGGATGGGTCATTCTTAGTAAGTGGCTGAGTGTGCAGGTGGAGTGTTTAAAGATTATTATTAAGGAACTGTGTGGTGTGGGGAGGATAAACCTGGTGACTCCATGTCTGGGTATAAATTTGTATGTGTCAGGGTTAGTTAAATAGTTATGCAACAAAAAATAAATAAAAGGAAGATATTTGTAAGTGAGCTATATGATAAGTCTCTGATGCCTTTTTGATGAAAAAGTAGTTTTGACAACATTTAAACATTATGAATAAATTCAAATAGAATACAATTCTAGTTCAACCACAAATGTTCAATTTCCTGCATTGCCATTTATTCCTAAAGAATTAGCATCCAGTGTTTATAATCAGTTGCAGAATAATTGCTTTTTGTTCAACAAATATGCTAATTTTACATTGGCGTGCTGATTCACAAGTATAAACAGAAACTAATAGCTGGGAGAACATTTGTTAGAATACTAATAAACTAAAATAAAGGCCTACTATACCTAAGGGTTTATGTTGCTTTGAATGCTATATGAGGTAAATTAAAGAAAAGCCCTCTTATGTCAGAATAAAACTATCCACACAAGTTTTCCCTACGTGCTTGTACTGATATATGGGAAGTTTAAACCTGTTCACCAATAAATCCTTGTTATAAAAAGGTGGCTTGCAAAGAGAAAGAAAAAGTTAGCAGCATACACATGGCTTCATGTAAGAATTGGATTTGAATTGGCATGCATGTGAGAATTAGGGGAAAGGGGTTTTCTTATTGCTTTGACTATATTCAAACAATAGTATAGGTGCTAAGTATAGGCTGTAAACAACATAGCTCACAGGTGTCATGAGCATTACCCTGGCTTCCCCATTTGGTTTCAGATTTGTTTGCAGGTGTCAATCCTGATTTTTAAAGTTCCCATTGAACTAGACTCAGGTGACACAGGAGACCACCTAACTCTATGTGCCCAGATAACTAAGATACTGTGTAGGACCAGTTATGCACTCCATGTCAGACTGGATCCCGTTCCATGGCTAGATTTCTGGCTCATTCTAGTACAGCACAAGGGAAATGTTGCAGTGGCTCCAAACAGATTAAAAATTACAGGGTTTAAGTAATTAAATATAAAATTTAATAACAAATTGATGCAATGGCCATTCTCATGTTCAGCTTATTTTATGTCATTGACATTTTTGGTTTCCATCTTTTTCCTTGACTGAAACAAAAATATCTCTATTCTTAGATTGCAGACTGAGGCAGAGAATACCTCTCTACCTTTCCTCACATGACGCTTGGTTCGTGTTGAGGTTTTCTTCATGGCTACAACCATATTGTTCACACATGCACATGAAAGCTTAGCTTCCAGGGCAATTTTCTGGCTTGAGATGTTTTCTATAGCAAATGCTGTTGTGAAAGAATAAGTGAATGCCATCCAACATGAAAAAATACAGAGGTGTGCAGGTCTTATTTTGGGTTGACAGTGCCCACAGAGTAATAAGCCAAGCCTCTTTTTTTTTTTCAATAGAAGACCCTTAAGGCATAGGACATCCTGAAGGGCACAGGAGCTCAGGTCCTGTGTCCTTCAAAGCACACAGCAACACTCAGCCTTTGCACAAGCCCCCACATCATAGGAAAGTAGGACTGGAAGGGACCTCACTAGCC